GCTGGGCTGCCTTGCTGCCCGGCACCCAATCCGGCCCTGGGCGGCGAGGCAGGCCTGCCCCGGAAGACCCAGAAGCGGAGTGGCGAGGCAGGCAGCCCAGTCGCTCCTCTGTGTCGGGAAGCAGGAGGCAGCTCTTCACCTGGAGGCTTCAGCTCAAGGTGGGAGGCGCCATTTTCTATATGGAAAGGCAGGGGGAGTGGCTAAGCACAAGGCGGCTCAGAGGCTGGTGGCTCTACATCCGGAGAGACCAGTGCCTAGGCGGGGTGTTCGCCTCAGGATGCGAGTGGTGGGGAGAGTAGCGCAAGGTAGAGGAGTTGCGGCTTCAGGCAAGTGAAGGGAAAAAGGGCAGGTTGGCCAGCTGCGACGCCATTTCCACGCTTCTCGGCCCAGGTTTTCAAATGTAAATATTACTTCAGATGTAGTTGCACGTAGTTTATTCCCTTCCCCGCATCTTGGCTGTTAAAGTCATGTCCACCCCTTGGGCAGTCGGGCCTCATGTTCATGGCACAGACGAGGTTTAGTTCTGGGGTCACCCCTTAGATTTTAAGCGGCCGCTACACTTGGTCGATAGGAAGAGTGAGACTTTAGCCCTGAAAAGACGGAAGGCTTGGGGCAGACGGTTCCCTCGAGGGCTCAGCCCGCTTTCGGGCCGTAGGCACAGGGAACGTCCAGGGCAGTCCCCGGAGCAGGCGTCCATCTGAGCTCCGACGAGGCCGTTTTGCAGTGTCCCTTTCCTCCGTCCCATGTGGTGGGGGCCATGACTGCCTCGAGGGTGCTCCCTGGAAGCCATTCTCCCCTCAGCATGTAGCTGAAGAGAATCTTTTTTTGTGCCTCATGTTAAAAAAAACAAAACAAAAAAACAAAAAAAACCCGAACAGGTGCGTGACTCCTCACTGTGTTCATTTGTAAAAGAAAAAAAAAATGCTCTTAAGACCCCGGGTGGTGAGGCAGCCTGGCCCCAGAACACCCAGAAGCCGCCTGATATAGTAGTAACTATATCGCTAAGCACTCTGAAAGTCAGTGGCATAAATGCACCAATTAAAAGACAGATTATGAGGGCGAATCAAAAACAAAACCCACATTAAATATAAAGACACATATAGATTAAAAGTAAATGAATTAACCTGCAGCCTGTTTTTCTCAGTTAATAGAGCATTAGCCCATAGACTGAAGGGTCCCAGGTTCGATTCCAGTTAAGGGCATGTACCTCAGTTGCTGGCTTGATCCTCAGTCCCTATCAAAGCATGTGCAGGAGGCAACCAATCAATGTGTCTCTCCCTTTCCCTTCACTCTCTCTAAAATTCAATGGAAAAATATCCTTGGGTGAAGATTAACAAAAACAAAGTAAATGGATTAAATAACATTAAAGAGATTATAAGAAAAATATATTCCAAATTTTGTTAGTTGTATAATGGTTATGTTTAAATTATTAACACCTAGGAAATTGGGTGAAGGGTACATATAATATGCTGTAGTATTTTATAGTTTTTTTTACATGTATGAGATTATTTCAAATTAAAATATTAAAAATTAATAAAATATTATTTGAAATGTTGTATGCATTACATGAAAAATCTCCTAATTGCTTCTAGCATAATTTATTAAATTGTGCTAAAATTTACAAGGGTTCAATTAAAAAATATCTTAATTCTAAATTATATAATAGAAAATATGTAATAGTGCAGTTATAAGCACTTATCTGAAAATAAAAATTGAAAGAAGTGAATTTAAAGAAGTGATTAGCCAAAGAAAATATATGCACAACCCATGGACACAGACAACAGTATGGTGATGGCCAGAGAGAAGTGGGGGGCAAGAGCTGGGTAGAGGGGACAAAAGGGGGGAAACAGGGACATCCTAAATAATAATAATAAAACACTAATATGCACATTGACTGAATGGCAGAATGACCGGTTGCTATGATGCTCACTGGCCACCAGGGGGCAGACACTCAATGCAGGAGCTGCCCCCTGGTGGTCAGTGCACTTCCATATGGGGAGTGCCACTTAGCAGAAGCTGGCTCATAGCTGGCCAGCACAGTGGTGGTGGCAGGAGCCTCTCCCACCTCCGTGGCAACACTAAAAATGTCCAACAAACACTTTAGACCTGATCCCTTGGGGGCTGAAGCCTTTAGTTGGACATCCCCCAAGGGCTCCCTGGCTGCCAGAAGGATGTCTGACTGCAAGCTTAGGCATGATCCCCCGGGGAGTGGGCCTAAGTCAACAGGTGGACCCCCCCAAGGGGTCCTGGACTGTGAATGGGCGCAGGCCAGGCTGAGGAAACTCCCCCCCGCCCCAGTGTACAAATTTTTGTGCACTGGGCCTCTAGTATCTATGAAAAGAATTATACAAAAATGTTTGTACCAGCTTTATTAGAAATAACCAAATATTTATTAAAATGGACACATGCTGGTGATATATTCAAAGACAAGAAAATCTACCAGGACCCTTGTCGAATTATCTCTCGAAGGAGCATAGGCCTTCAGACCAAAGGGTCCAGATTGCATTCCAGTCAAAGGCAGGTACCTTGGTTCAAGACTACTTCCCAGCCCGGTCCCTGGTCAAGGCTAATGCAGGAGGCAATCAATCAAAGTGTTTCTCTCACATTGATGTTTCTCTCGACTTTCCCTCTCTCTTCCACTCTCCAAAAAAACAATGGAGAAATATCCTCGGGTGAGGATTAACAACAACAAAAAGAATATTTATCAAAAAAATAAAAAGGATGAATTACTAATATATCTTTAATAAATGTCTAAGAATTTATGAAATATAAATTAAAGCAGAAAAATACTTAGAAAAAGCTAAGATCGCTATTAAAATGAAATATAAATTCCTGGTTACTAGAAAAGCTGTGAAGAACAGGGACAGATTAAACGAGGTCATGAAGCAACTACACAGTCATAGATATGATCAGTATTATGAGTAGAATGATGGTTTCAGTTTCATGCACACATCAAGATTTATAAAACAGTATAATTCACACATAAGATTTATTCATTACAGCTGTTATGAAATGGCTCAAGATAAAAGAAATGTACATTCACCTATTTTGTAACAACAGGTTTTTCAACTCTTTATTCAACCCACACCCTTATGCCCTCTGGGCAAGTCTCATTTCACTGACAGAAAATGTAACAAACAATGAAGTACTTTCAAGCAAACCAGTGTTTGACAAACTCATTAGTCAACAGAGCCAAATATCAACAGTACTTCTTCAAAATAGACTCGCCCAGGCCGAAAACCGACTTCCGAGCATGGGCCACGAAGTTTCAATCTCACTGTATGTGCACGCCCGCATGTGGTATTTTATAGAAGAGCCACACTCAAGGGGCCAAAGCGCCGAATGTGGCTCGCGAGCCGCAGTTTGCTGACCACGGACCCAAACAAACAAGAATGCTGGCTGGGTCCCAAAAGCCACATCCCTGGATTCAAGACACCCTTTGTTTTCCTTAGTTTTGCTGCCAGAGCACCAATGGCTCTGATGGGAACATCTGAGAAGCTACAGGAAGACACAAAACATCTTGATTATAATCAAGGATAATGACAGCTCCACAGAAGATAAACATACCCAGATGTCCCTCAGATCTGTGTACAGACGGCTCCTGTAGTCTTTTCCTCAAAAAAATTTCTTTGGTGCAGGTTTAGATGAAGACCATTCCATCTACTGGGCTGCAGTCTGGTCCAAAAGAAATTAAATCAGTGTTTCTGCAGTGAAACAGTTTCCCCTCACTGCAATGGTCCTGAAACCAGTGCCCATCACCCATGCAATTGTAGGCATTATGGCACATGGCCCTCTGCAAGACCTGGACAGGAGGTTCCCTTCAAATGTCTCAGCATTCCTTGAAAACAAGAAAAGCATTCAAGCTCCTAGAAAACACACTTGAGTTTGTCACAGCTACACGCTCTTCGGAGTGGTCTCTGTGTCTCAATGCATCCGGCTTCACATGAGGACTAGAGAGACTACAGTGTTTCATGGGAAATTATGGGCAGCAGTGTAAATTTGGCAAAAACTGCTGAGCTAATTTCTGCACCATAGTCTTCCACCAAGGGCAAAAATGTTTGAGACCACATATAAGTTTTTCACATCATCATGCTTGGAGAGCCCATATCTCCTTATAAACTAAGCCATAGAGTCAATTGAACACCCAACATTAAAGAAGTCTTATGGAAAAGGCTTCATTATTTTGCAAAGAAAGAGCCGTGACACTGGGAGTTCTTTCATTGGTCACTTAAACATTCAATAAATTCACCAATGGCATCTAGGGAAAGCTTGTCCCTGAAAATGGCAGGCCCTCTGCAAGATTATGTTTACTGGGGCCAATAGTAATCAGTTCTACATGGCAACTCATGACTGAGAAACAAGTAACACTAAGGACCCAGGTATTCCTAATTTCTTCAACAAATTAGACAACAGAGTTAGCTTCCCTGGACCCATGAGGATGGTGAATGATGCCATCTGTAGGGGCCTTATAAGGGGTTCAGGTGAAATACGTTCAGCAACAGAAATATGCAGTGACATAGACCTGGCAAGACAGCTCTTTATGTTAAAAAGTCCAACATAGATACATATGGTTACAACATACAAACAAGAAAACAGAACAGTAAAAATAGTTGTGGGTACGTTACATAATGTAGGTGATTAAACATATGAGATAAATTCAGAGTAATGGGACTTCATATATTTTCTTATACAATTGTTAAGTCCCAACTAAGAATCGATATTTTCAACACATCTAAGAAATTTTTCACATTCGGACTCTTTTGTGCAGAGCGAATTTACAAATTAGGCAGAGATATCTCACATTAATTACACTCATAAAGACTTTCTCCTGTGTGAACTCTCTGATGACGATGAAGGTGAGAGTTAGTTGTAAAAGAATTTCCACATTCACTGCATTTATAAGCATGTTCTCCTGTATGAGCTCTCTGATGAAGGCGAAGGTTGGTGTTACTGGTATAAAATTTCCCACAGTCACTGCATTTATAAGGCTTTTCTGCTGTATGAACTCTTAGATGATATTGCAGACCATTACAACATGCAAACGATTTTCAACATGCATGGCATTTATAAGGCTTTTCTCCTGTATGAACAGTCTGATGATTTTGGAGAGAATCAGTATGTATGAAACTTTTCCCAGTCACTGCATTGATAAGTCTTTTCTCCTGTGTGAACACTCTGATGACGATGAAGGTCAATGCTCCACGTAAAACATTTCCCACATTCACTGCATTTATAAGGCTTTTCTCCAGTGTGAACTCTCTGATGATTGTGATGGTGGAATTTAGTGGTAAAAGATTTCCCACATTCACTGCATTTATAGGGCTTTTCTCCAGTGTGAACTCTCTGATGACTGTGAAGGTGGAACTTAGTGGTAAAAGATTTAGCACATTCACTGCACTTATACGGCTTTTCTCCTGTGTGAACTCTCTGATGAATACGAAGGTTGGTCTTGGTGGTAAAAGATTTTCCACATTCACTGCATTGAAAAGGCTTTTCTCCTGTATGAACTCTCTGATGAGTACGAAGGTTGGTATTAGTGGTAAAAGATTTCCCACATTCACTGCATTTATACGGCTTTTCTCCAGTGTGAACTCTCTGATGACTGTGAAGGTGGAACTTACTGGTAAAAGGTTTCCCACATTCACTGCATTTATACGGCTTTTCTCCTGTGTGAACTCTCTGATGACTGTGAAGGTGGAACTTAGTGGTAAAAGATTTCCCACATTCACTGCATTTATAAGGCTTTTCTCCTGTGTGAACTCTCTGATGAATACCAAGAATCGTCTTGGTGGTAAAAGATTTCCCACATTCAGTGCATTTAAAAGGCTTTTCTCCTGTATGAACTCTCTGATGAGTACGAAGGTTGGTCTTAGTGGTAAAAAATTTCCCACATTCACTGCATTTATAAGGCTTTTCTCCTGTGTGAACTCTCTGATGACTGTGAAGGTGGAACTTAGTGGTAAAACATTTCCCACATTCACTGCATTTATAAGGCTTTTCTCCTGTGTGAACTCTCTGATGAATACAAAGGTTGGTCTTGGTGGTAAAAGATTTCTCACATTCAGTGCATTTAAAAGGCTTTTCTCCTGTATGAACTCTCTGATGAGTACGAAGGTTGGTCTTAGTTGTAAAAGATTTCCCACATTCACTGCATTTATAAGGCTTTTCTCCTGTGTGAACTCTCTGATGACTGTGAAGGTGGAACTTAGTGGTAAAAGATTTCCCACATTCACTGCATTTATTAGGCTTTTCTCCTGTATGCACTCTCTGATGATGATACAGTTTATTGCTAGTGGTAAAAGATTTCCCACATTCACTGCAGTGATAAGGCCTTTCTCCAGTGTGCACTCTCTGATGACGACAAAGTTTAGCGCTACAGGTATAAGGTTTCCCAAATTCACTACATAAATAAGGCTTTTCTCCAGTGTGAATGCTCTGAAGACAATGAATGTTACTGCTACTGGTAAAAGATTTCCCACACTCATTGTACTCATAAGGCCTTTCTCCTGTGAGCACTCTCTGATCATAATGGACAGCACTGCTATTGGTAAAAGATTTTCCACATTCAATGCGCTCATAAGGCCTTTCTTCAGTGTGCAAAGCTTCATATTCACCTAGGCTGTTAATACTGCTAAAAGCTTTCCCATATTCACTGCACTCATAAGGCCTTTCTCCAGTGTGATCTCGCTGTAGATAAGACAAGCTAGAAAATTTGGTAAAATACTTCCCACATTCAGAGCACACAAAACATTGATTTCCAACATTGACATCCTTTTCCTGAATAAACGTGTGGGTGCAAGTAATGTCTGTCTTACAGTCTTTTCTGGTGTAATAATTGTTTGTCCTTTGAAATGTCATCCCACCTGTCAAAATAGCATTTGGACTGTCAATGGTCTGAGTAGTCTTCAGGTGTAGATGTCCTGAGCTGGTAAGGAAACCCTGCCCAACCTCCTCATATGTGAAACGATTCTGGGACACATTGAAATTGCAGCTGTGTGCAAGTGAGATGTTGTCCACACCTCTAATGAAAGTCTTCTCTCGCACATGGTGTTGGTGAAATTTTATACTTAAGTAAAACTGTTTTGCACATGCCCCACACCTCAACAGTATCTGTCCGTGTTGTGTTCCCTGCCCCTCCATCACGTGAAAAATGTTTCCCAAGACTAAGCCACAACTCTCACAGGGGTGGCTCTTCTGGGAAGACGAGGCTAACTTGGGATTCCTTGTGTGTGACACTCTTACAAAAACGTTCTGTTCAGTCGCTGCCTCCACATTCTCTGTTCCACAGCAGCAACCTGAACAAAAGGAAACACTGGTGAAGTACATGTTGATCCTATGAAAACAAAATATCTCCACCACAAATGTTTATCTTTCATGACTAGACCTGATGTCATAGAAAGATTTTAAGGAGGTGTGAGGTAAACTCTGAGGAAATTGCTGTTATATATATTATGGCTCCAAAAGTCAGTCAATGATGAAAAGCAAACCAAGAGAGGGACAGAAGCGCAGGATGGGACACAACGAAGACAGGAAGACTCTCCTCACTGTTCCTGTACAAACGGCTTCCTTTAGGACCTTACATGCTGGCATGTGAGTCTGTGTAGAATAATTTAAAGCGGCCCAAAGTCATAAAAATTAATTGTATTAGTGCACATGATGTTCAACGTCAATACAATAATGTGTGGACTCCAAGGTGCTGGAGCCATGGACCAACGTTGGGGTGCAATAAAGAGAAACGTGTTAAAGAGGCAGAGGTACAAAATGCATAGAGGTTAAGATTATCCATGCTCTGGGAATCCGAGTAGAAATGATCACTATTAGAACTGAGTAGTTGGCAAAATATCAACAATAACCACAAACAGGCATAAATGGGTGAGGCATGGGCAACTTTAAAAAAACAGTGGGTTGCCCTGACCGGTTTGGCTCAGTGGATAGAGCGTCAGCCTTCAGACTGAAGGGTCCCGGGTTCAATTCTGGTCAAGGGCATGTGTCTTGGTTGTGGGTACGTCCCCAGTGGGAGGTGTGCAGGAGGCTGCTGATCGATGTTTCTCTCTCATTGATGCTTCTAGCTCTCTGTCCCTCTCCCTTCCTCTCTGTAAAATATCAATAAATATAATAAAAAAAAGAAAAAGAAAACACTGGGTTTCTAGCTATGAATGTAACAAAGGCCAGCCGAGAATTCCTCCCCAATGACCCTTCTCCAAGGCAAGTTCACCAATGGGTCCACTGTGTCATTAATAAAGTCCTGTTTTGCCCTAACCAGTTTGGCTCAGTGACAGAGCGTCAGCCTGCGGAGCGAAGGGTCCCAGGTTTGATTACGGTCAAGGGCATGTACCTTGGTTTTTGGTTCACTCCCAGAAGGGGGTGTACAGGAGGCAGCTAATTGATGTTTCTCCCTACTCGATGTTTCTAACTCCCTATCCCTCTCCCTACCTTTCTATAAAAAAATCAATAAAATACATTTAAAAATAAATAAATAAAGTCATGTTTCTTCTGTGATGCACAAATGATTCTTCCTCTTAAATCCCACTTGAGACATTTATCTGATAAATGATGCAAATCTTCAAAGAAAAACACAAAAGTTGATGATCAACACTGTGGTAGAACAACAAAAAACAAATGAGATCACAGACAAACGACCTATGTAAGCCCTTGCTGGCTTGGCTCAGTGGATAGAGCATTTCCCTGTGGAATGAAGGGTCCTAGGTTCACTTCCGGCCAGGGGCATGTGCCTGTGTTGCAGGCTTCATCTTCAGTAGGTGGTGTGCAGGAGGCAGCCGATCAATGATTCTCTCTCATCATTGATGTTTCCATCTCTCCCTTCCTCTCTGAAATCAATACAAATATATTAAAAAAAAAAAAAAAAAAAAGACCTATGTGAGTGACTTCCGAAAGAATGCAGAATTAGAGATATGAGCATCTCCCCCGACCCCATGGTAAGCAGACAGCTACTCAGAAACAAAAACCGCATAAAAAATGGGAGTAAGAGTACCATGAAGACAAATAGTGTAACAGACACAAATAAAGAAGTGTACAGAAAGAATGACTACAAAAGACTGGGTGAATAAACATATTTGAAAATACGTACGGTAAAAAACAAGGGTCTGAATTACCTCCAGCAGCCCCTGTGCTTCTGCTATCATTGACCAAAGTGACCTGTTTTTAAAAAAGCACTGGAAATTTTTGTGTTTAAAAACCACAGAATGCCTTGGCCAGTATGGCTCAGTTGGTTGGAGCAGCATCCTGTGTACCAAAGGGTCGAGTATTCAATTCCCAGTCAAGGCACATGTCAGTATATGGGTTCCATTTCCAGTTACCTTGTGTGCAGAAGTCAGCCGATTGATGTTTCTCCCTCACTCTGATGTTTCTCTGTCTCTCTGTCTCCCCATCTCTCTTCCTCAAATATTTGAACAAGCATCAGTAAAAGGGAGATAAGGCAAAATAAAACAATACAAATATTGGCTACCCTTGAGTTAGACTAAAGCAAATAACAAAAACCAATAAACAAACAACAAGAAGCGTCAGGGGTGTAGGGGAGGCTGGGGAAGGGTCAATTGGGGAAAAAAAAAAAAAACAAGCTTCAAAGAAATGAAAGGTAAGACATTACACCTGACACTAGGAACCACAAAGAAATAGTAAGAGATGTTGAGCCCTAACCGGTTTGGCTCAGTCTGAAGGGTTCCAGATTCGATTCCGGTCAAGGGCATGTACCTTACTTGCGGGCATATTCCCAGTAGGAGGTGTGCAGGAGGCAGTTGATCAATGTTTCCCTCATCGATGTTTCTAACTCTCTATCCCTCTCCCTTCCTCTCTGTAAAAAATCAATAAAATACATTTTAAAAAAATAAATAAATAAATAAAAAGAGAGATGTTGATGTTAAGAGATAACATGACCCTCCATAGAGAAATCTGTCAAGATCCCATATGAGCTTCTGAAATTAATAAACAAATTCAGAGCCCAGGCCATGTAGCTCTCTTGTTGAGTGTGTGGTCCCGATGCACCACAGTTGTGGGTTTGTAGGGCACATGTAGGGGACAGCCAATAAATGCTTAGATGGGTAGAACTGCAGATCAATGTTTCCCTCTCTTTCTCTGTTTCCCTTCCTGTGTCTAAAATAAATAAATAAAGGCTGCCCAGTATGGCTCAGTGATTGAGCATAAACCCATGACCTAGAACCGTGGTCAGCAAACTGCGGATTGTGAAGCACAAGTGGCTCTTTGGCCCCTTGCGTGTGGCTCTTCCACAAAATACCATGTGCGGGCGCGCGTATAGTGTTGAAACTTCGTGGCCCATTTGCAGAAGTCGGGTTTTGGCCTGCGGGTGTCTATTTTGAAGAAGTACTGTTGATATTTGGCTCTGTGAACTAATGAGTTTGCCAACCACTGAGACCTTGTAGATCACAATTCCAGTCTTTGTCAGAAGATACTTGCAGGTTGCCGGCCCTATCTCCATTATGGGGAAGGGGGTGGGGGCGGTGCAAAAAGCAGCTGATCAATGACTCTCTCTCATTATTCATGTTTCTATCGCTCTCTAGTTCTTTTCCTCTCTGAAATCAATAAAATATAGTTTAAAAATAAATAATTTAAGGAATAAATAAATAGCCCTGGCCCGTGTCACTCAGTGCTGAGAGTGCCTGCTTGCACACTGGAAGGTCATGGATGTGATTCTCAGTAAGAGGCAAGTATGTGGGTTTCAGGTTCAATCCCCCTTCTAGTGGGGGCACATGTGTGAGGCAACCAATAGATGTTTCTCTCTCTCTCTCTCTCTCTGACTCTCCCTTACTCTCACTCTCTTAGAAAAAAAAATCAATGGAAAAAATATTCTCACTATTCAGGTGAAGATAAAAGAAGAAAGAATTGAATTCAGGCCCTAACCGGTTTGGCTCAGTAGATAGAGCGTCGGCCTGTGGACTAAAGGGTCCCAGGTTCGATTCTGGTCAAGGGCATGTACCTTGGTTGTGGGCACATCCCCAGTAGGGGGTGTGCAGGAGGCAGCTGATCGGTGTTTCTCTCTCATCGATGTTTCTAACTCTCTATCCCTCTCCCTTCCTCTCTGTAAAAAATCAATAAAATATATATTTAAAAAAAAAAAAAGAATTGAATTCAGAAAAGTTATGGGAGAGGAGATCCAAGATGGCGGTGTAGGCAAAGGCCTATACTGGCTTCCTCCCACAACCACATCAAAATTACAACTAAAATACACAACAACCATCAGCCAGAAAGCCTGGAAAGCTGGCTGAATGGAAGTCTTAGGACAGTGGTTCTAAACCTTGGCTGCACATTAGCATCACCTGGGAATCTTCCTAAAATCTTGATATCTGGCCCTCATCCTCCAGAAATTCTGTTTCTTTGTTTCTAGTGATGAGGCCCAGAAATCAGGATTTTAAAAAGATTCCCAGGTGATTCTAATGTGCAGCCAAGGTTGAGAACCACTGTCTTAGGACTAGAGAGGTAAAGTAGAAAGCACACTGAGACTGATAGGAGGTATAAAGGCATGGAAGGTCCTGGTCGTGTGTACCCATGTGGGACACTTTTTTAATTGGGAGGGAGATCGTCTCTGCAGACGTCACCTGGAAGAGCAAGAGGTCCCAGTACCACACCAGTCGCACAGCACAGCGTCCCAGACTGGGGGAAAAAAGGCCTTAATGGGAGTAAGAACCATGGGTTGGAAAAACCAGTGCGGACTGGGGCTCAGTGACACAGAGGGTGCAGGAGACCCAGCTGCTCCTCTTACAATGCCAGTACCACAAAGGGAACTTACAAACTCACGCTTCTTCTGACCTCCAGGGCCTGGCAAACATGGTGGCGGAGGGGTGGATCAAGACACATACGAGGGGAAACTGGACTAACTGGCATCAGGGCAGGAATTTGGGGGCAGCTTTCTCCCAGACAGAGGTGACTGCTGTGGTCATTATACCTATGCTGCCACTTCCAAGATGGCAGGTCTTACTGACAACCATTTCTGTGTGCTCCGACCTGGTGATTCCCTGAGACCTCACCCCATCCAATTTACAACTCCAACCAAGCTGTGTGCAGCAGCATTTGTATATGAACTGCCTGCCCTTGCTCAGGATAAAACCTGTCAAACAAGTTGCAGTTGGGTCAGGGAGCCCCAAACCTATCAATAAAAGACCTATACCCGGCACAAGCACTAGCCTTCCTTGCTTCACAGCTGGGCCTCATCAGGGCACTTCCAAACTCGATACAAAGAGGAGATTCTGCAGATCTCTCTGTAGATGCTGCTGGATGGCTCCAGGCAGAGGCTGACTTTACACTTCCCTGGAGACCCAAGAGCCAGTGTACCCAGTGGTCAGTGTCATACCATAGCAGCTTAAAACTCTTCACATCCATAAGCTATACACTCAAGGGGCAGACTCACTGACCATCAAAGCCCCACTGATGCAGGTCATGCTCCATAGGGGTGTCTCCTGCACAGCAGCTCTCCCACTGTAGTCTTAGCGACACCCATCAATGCTAAAATCCTCAAGAAAAATCTGGCAAATCGTATCCAACAATACATTAGAAAGATCAACACCATGACCAAGTGGGATTTATTCCAGGGATGAAAGATTGATATAATATCTGCAAATCAATAAATACGATACAACATATAAACAAAATGAGAGACAGAAATCATATAATCATATCAATTGATATAGAAAAAGCATCTGACATAATCTGACACACTTTCTTGATAAAAACTCTCAGCAAAGTAGGAGCCCAAGGATCACACCTCAACATAATAAGAGCTTTTATGACAAACCCACAGCCAACATCACACTCAATCAGCAAAAACTACAACCATTTTCCCTAAGAACAGGAACAACACAGGGATGCCCACTTTCATCACTCCTGTTTGATATAAAACTGGAAGGGCTAGCAATAACAATCAGACAAGAAGCAGAAATTAAAGGCTTCATAATTAGAAAAGAAGAAAACCATCATTATTCAAAGATGACATGATATTGTACATAGAAAACCCTAAAGATACCATCAAAAAACTACTAAATTTAATAAATGTATTCAGCAATGTTGCAGGTTACAAAACTAACAACCAGAAATCTATGGCTTTTTTATACACCAATAACGAACTCACAGAAAGAGAAACAAACAAACAAAAAATCCTATCTACCATTACAACAAAAATATTAGGATACGTAGGAATAAACTTAACTAATGAGGTAAAAGACCTATTCCGAAAACTACAGGAAGTTGAGAAAAAGAGATAGAACAAGATATAAAAAAAATGAAAAAATATACTGTGTTCATGGATTGGTAGAATCAACATCATGAAAATGTCCATGCTACCCAAAGCAATCTGCAGATTCAATGCAATCCCCATTAAGATACCAACTGCATATTTCACAGACCTATAAGAAGCTCTCCAAAAATAAATATGGAATAATAATAATAAAAAATAGCCACAGGAATCCTGAGAAAGAACAAAGTTGGAGGGATGACAATACCAGGTACCAAGGTATATTGCAAACATGCCTGGTACTGGCACAACAACAGACATATAGAACAATGCAACAGAACAGAGAATCCAGATATCGACCCAAGCCATTATGCTCAATATTTGTCAAAGGAGGCAACACCATACAATGAATTCAAGACAGTCTCTTCAATAAATGGTGTTGGGAAAATTGGACTGATACATGCAAAATATTGAAACTAGACCACCAACTTATACCATACACAAAAATAAACTAAATATAAAGTCTGTAAACGTAACATGGGAAACCATAAAAATCTTAGAAAAATTCACAGCAGCAAAATATCAGACATATATCCTAGCAATGTCTTTACGGATACAGCTCCTAGGGCAGTGATGGCGAACCTTTTGAGCTCGGCGTGTCAGCATTTTGAAAAACCCTAACTTAACTCTGGTGCCGTGGCACATATAGAAATTGTTTGATATTTGCAACCATAGTAAAACAAAGATTTATATTTTTGATATTTTTAAAATATATTTAAAAGGCATTTAACAAAGAAAAATCAACCAAAAAAATGAGTTTGCGTGTCACCTCTGACACACGTGTCATAGGTTCACCATCACTGTCCTAGGGTAATGGAAACTAAGGAAAAAATGAATAAATGGAACTATGTCAAGATAAAAAGCTTCTGCACAGCAATAGAAACCATCAACAAAACAACAAGAAAGCCCACTGAATTGAAGAATATATTTGCCAATGTTGTATCCCATAAGGGTTTACTCTCCAAAATTTACAGGGAACTCATACATCTTAACTCATACATCTTAACAAAAAGAAGATAAACGATCCAATAAAAAAAACGGGCAAAGGACCTAAGTGCACACTTTTCAAAAGTAGACATACAGAAAGCCAAGAGACATATAAAAACATGCTCAAAGCCACTTATCTGAGAGACGCAAATCAAAATGACAATAAGATATCATCTCACACCTGTCAGGATGGCTATCATCAACTAATCAACAAATGACAAATGACAAGTGCTGACAAGGATGCAGAGAAAAAGGAACCCTTGTGCATCGCTGCTGGGAATGCATATTGGTACAGACACTGTGGAATATAGTATAGAGTTTCCAAAAAATTAGAAATGGAACTCCCAATTGACCCATCTAGGAAAATATCCCAAGAAATAAAAACAGCACTAGCCGGTTTGGCTCAGTGGATAGAGAGTTGGCCTGCAGACTTAAAGGTCCCAGGTTCGATGATGGTCAAGGCAACATGCTGGGTTGTGGGCTCGATTCCCAGTAGGGTGCGTGCAGAACAAAGCGATCAATGATTCTGTCTTATCACTGATGTTACTATCTCTCTCTCCCTCTCCTTTCCTCACTCTGAAATCAATAATGAAATATTAAAAAGAAAGAGAAGAAATCAGAAACACCAATCAGAAAGGACATATGCACCTCTATGTTCATAGCAGTACAATTTAGGGTGGCTAAGATTTGGAAATAGCCTAAGTGCCCATCAGTATATCAGTAGATTAAAAAAACAGTGGCATATCTACACAATGGAATACTATGCTGCTGTTAAAAAGGAGGAACTCTTACTATTTGCAACAGCATGGATGGAACTGGAGAGCATTATGCTACGCAACGTAAGCCATGTGGAGAAAGATAAATATCACAGACCGTAATCGGTTTGGCTCAGTGGATGGAGCGTCAGCCTGCGGACTGAGGTGTCCCGGGTTCGATTCCGGTCAGGGGCATGTGCCTTAGTTGCGGGCACATCCCCGGTGGGAGGTGTGCAGGAGGCGGCTGATCGGTGTTTCTCTCTCATCGATGTTTCTAACTCTCTATCCTTCTCCCTTCCTCTCTGTAAAAAATCAATACAATATTTTTTTTTAAAAAAAGATAACTATCACAGGATCTCACTCATTTGTGGTCAATGGGGGAAAGAAGAGACATATGTAATACAATATATATTACTTTAATCAATAACGAATTTTAAACAAGAAATATTGTGAAAATATCCATACTACACAATGCAATCTAAGATTAAATGGAACCCTGAGGATAATTCTTATGGTATTTTACAAAGATATGAAAAGAAAACCTTGAAATGTATAGAACTAAAAAATGTGAATAGCAAAAACAATCGTGAGTGAGAAGCAAGCTGGTGGCATCACACTTCCTGACTTCAATTTAGTACAAAGAGAAGGCAAGCAAACAATGTATTGCTGGAGAAACACAGACACATACATCAACAGAAGAGAACAGAAAACACAGAAATAAATCCAGCACATACTTTCAAGTAATCTTTGTCAAAACTGCAAGACAGAGAAGAAAGGAGAGATAGTTTCTTCAATGAATGGTGCTGCTGAAAATCAATACTCACATGTAAACACAACAATACTGGACACCACTGATAAAATTTAATGCAACCTGCATAACAGAATTGAATATCAGCGCTAAAACTTAAAATGCCTGAGGACAACCTAGAGAAAAAGTTTTGGAGGTTTGTTTTGACATGATTTTTCGAATGTGACACCAACCACCAGACAAAAAAGAAAAAACAGACAGTCCAGATTGCAACCAATAAAGAAAAAAGCTTCTTCACAGCCCAACAGCAATAAAAAAATGAAATGAAAGGAAATCTAGAGAAAAGAAGAAAATACTTGCAAATCCTATGAAGGAATCGCTTGGATAGATTGTGGATTCAGTTCGTATCAGCACAATAAAGCGAATATTGAGATATAGACAGAAATTCACACAAATAGTTGGATTTCCCAGGGAATAATAAAGTTATGTTAATACTATACTGGAGGCTAATAACAATGCAATGACTTGTCCGAAAACCAAACTCAATATAACTTCATTAAAAATACTTTATTGCTAAGCACTAGCAACAAGCATCTGAATTTGCTAGAAAAAAGGTGGCACTAGACCTGCTGAATTGCAGGGTTGCCTAAAAACATCGACTTTGTAGAAAAGCGGGTGTGGGGAGCAATATCTGCATCTGCAAAGCAAAATTAAGCTCATGCAAGAATGTGCTCCTGGGTGTCATAAACAATGAATATATAATATAAACAAGGAGACAGAAGGTGGTTGGTGTCACAAAAACTTGAAGTCAAAGAATGTTTAACCAAAAAATGCAGTTATTAAGCAGGATAAGGTATAGAAACAATTCTTCAAAAACGAGGTACAAGTGACCAACAGGAACATAGAAAATGTTTTCCTCCCTGATCAAGGTGGAATCCCTCAGGCTTCCTCCAAAACTACCAACCTCAAGTACTTCCCTGTGAATTTGGTGCAGCAGGGAGTATTGGGACTTCAGGAATAGAAGGGAGCAGGGGAAACAGACCAACCCACCCCAGGACAGCAACTATCCAGGAAACTGGAAAAATCAAGCAGTACCACAGTCTAAATGGGAGGACAGAGCACACCCTGGGATATGGGCCCTGGGAAATAGAAAAGCCAATTCCAGGTCACTGGTGACAGTGAGGGTCTTACCCAGCGAGGATATAAGTTCAAAGTTCTCCAGCATCACATTCAGGTACAGCTGTCTCTGACCCTCATCAAGGAGGCTCCATTCCTCCCTGGAGAAGTACAGGGCAATGTCCTCAAAGGTCACGCCAACCTGTCAGAATTGAGACAATTGAAAGCAGAGCTGTCTCTCTGAGAACCTGCCATTCTACTCCTTACACACCTTTTCCCCCTCAACCTCCTCCAGGGCCCCTGGTTACTGTGGACACCAGGCCCTAATGCAAGTGCAGGCTGCTCTCTCATCACAGTCCCATTACTCACTGCAATGAATGGCCCTCAGCAGAGCAGCTGGGTTGGGTGGGAAGAACTGGGGAGGGGAGGGTAGAGAGCAATGCCATTTAAGGTCTGGGCGATGCCTGCAGGGCCCCAACCTTCCTGCCAGCAACACCACTGCAGTCTCCTAGATACTGCCCCCAAGACAAAGCCAAGCGAGGGTTTATGCTTCACCTTTAAGTCCCCACACCAGGTTCCAGGACCATCAGCTCACACTTCCTCCAGGTGTGCACACCACTGGGTAATGTTCAACCCCTTCCCATGTTCAGATCGCATGTTCACTCCCTCAGCTCTGCCCCCTTCCTGCTCCAATGCCACTGGATCTCGCTGGACTCACCCATGAACCTGGCATATGGCGTGTAGAGAGCTTGTAGTCCAGCCGGATCCAGGACCACCCCAGGCCCCGGATGGACCCACAGCTGGGAAAGCCCCGAATGAGTCTGTGCCGTCCTCCCCGCAGCCTCTGATCTTTCCGTCAATACTCACAGCCACATCCTCAGGGACCTTCAGATGCAAGTCACCCCCGTCCTCTCTGCCCTGCACTTGCTGTGTCCTCAGAAACCACAACACTCCTCTCCCCCCTCCACCTTCCTCACGGGCCTCCACGCGGGACTGAGCTGCAGGACGGGACAGGCGCCCTCCCCAGGCTGTGGTGTCTGTGTGAGGAGGCGGTGAGGGCCTGGGGGACACAAACTCACCTCAGCCCGTCTCCTCAGCGGGGGCGCCGCCATTGCCCTCTGTGGGCTGAGCGGGCGGGAGCAGAAGCCGCTGCAGGAATGGCGGTCCCTGTCCTGGCCCTGGCCTGGGTCCGGGTGGCGACTCCGAGCTTCAACCCACGTGGGAGCTGTGAGCACCACTGGCGGCTCCACCATTAGCTGTGAGGGGGGGAGCACCACTTTCCGGCCTTCTCCACGGGACCTTGGACCGGGAAAACCTCGTCTGCAGAGACAAAAACCTTAGAGGAAACGCGGCTAGGAGCACTACCATCCCGCCCTACAGAAGCGGCCAAACGCAAATGCCTTCTCTGACCCTTCATTGGCTCAGCCTGATGCCATTCCATGCGTGGCCTTCTGGGTAATGTAGTTTCTCCGCTCCATGGCCAGGATCCCCTATTTCCTTAGCTGACTACAGGACTGCATTTAGGGGCAAATAGCCCAAGATCACACCAAGTATTTTCAGGTCCCTTAAGCGCCTTCAAGGGACGTGATTTCGAGGGCAAGTTTCTTTCTCATGTACCCGCGTGGCTGGTTTTGTATATCTTTATTACAGGACCAGCCCTTTCTGAACGGCAGGCATTGTTTCTTCATTCATGGCATTTGGCATGTGTCTCCTTCAGGTTAAATGTTGCTTGCAGAAGTTGCTCAAGTCTCTAACTGCCTCTATCCTGCCTCCACTGAATCCATTACTCAAAGTTAATGTCACAAAACAGACACTCATCAGAGCATTTGCTTCTGATGCCATCCAAAGTGTCAGCTCTGCCTGGGCTGCCAGTGTGGGTAAGATGGCCAAGAAACCTTTGAAAAAATCCTCAAAGTGACTGATCATCAGAGAGATGCAAATTAATGCAACAATTAGGTATCACCCCACCACTTTCATAATGGCTGCCATCAGCAAATCAACAAATGAGAAGTGCTGGGGAGGATGTGGAAAAATGGGAACCCTAGTACACCCCTGGTGGGAATGCTAATTGGTACAGTCATAATGGATTCAGTTTGAAGTTTTTGCAAAATATTTAATATGGAACTGCCATTTAATTCAGTGATTCTACTCCTAGGAATATATCCTAAGACACCTGAAACAATCACATAGATAGTATGTACCCCTATGTTCATAGCAGCACAATTTACAATAGCAAAGATCTGGAAACTGCCCAAGTACTCATCAGTAGATGATTGATTGGATAAAAAACTGTGGTACATTGATATCATGGAATACTATGCAGCAGTAAAAATGAAGACTCTCTTCCCCTTTCACACAGCATGTAGGGACCTGGAGAGCATCATGCTAAGTGAAATAAGTCAAGAGAGAAAGAGAAGTATCACTTCATCTCACTCATATATGTAATCTAATTAACAAAAAAACCCCTGTTGAATGGAGTAAATTCAGAGTGTGGAATTCAGAATGAGGAATCTTAGAAGGGAAGGCTGAGGAGGGTAAAAAAAAAAAAAGAAACAAAAACATCCTTCCCTGTGGATTATACACACACACACAAACAATAAAAACAGTCACCCAAGCCTTGAGCATTTTCTTCTGTTCTCTGAAAGCAATGGGAAAACTCTAGCTTGCTGGGTTCTGGGTCTGCTCTAAATTTGTGTTTATAAATCTGTCTTCTGTCAGTTGTGTCCCTGAAAATGCTGAAACCCCTCCATGTAACGTTCACCTGATTCACATGAGTTGATTGCTTTTAGTGTTGTTGTAAGAAAAGTCCAAACATGTTGGAGAATTTTTCTCAGTTTATTTGACCAAAGCCTGTGACATTGCCAAGAAACAACAAGAAAACACATTGAGGTGGGAGAATGGCAGTTTTGCACCTTCTTTATACATTAGACTCAAAGGAGAAGACATAAGGGGGTTATATGAAATTCACTGTTGATAAATTAAGGGAGAGAGTTGAGGAGCGAAATCTCTGGTTTTGGATAAAAAGTTTAAAAAATAGACATAAACTTCTTTTTAAGTTTATCTATTAGGTAACAGTTAATATTTAACACAATAACAATAATAATTGGGGTCTGTGGTCTTCTGTGTTGGGAGATTGTGCCCTTAAGCTTCTATAAAATGGAAATTTCCCTGAAAATCCAAAGGTAGGTTATCCCAGATGCAAAAACACAATAGCCAGGCCTATTAAGGTAAAAATCGACCTTTGCAAAACAAAACAAAAAACAAGGCTAGGACATAACTACCCCTGTGGCTTACTTTTGCTTAGAAAGTTTTAACTTCAAACCATCTTATATGGTTACTTTTGGCCTCTGAGTTCCTAAGATTGGCCATGGCATGCCAGGATCCCTGATCTTACTAGGTTTAGTATGTGCCTTCATTTTTGTCCAAACTGGGGAGTTAGAACTTGTTGGTTTAGCCCTAACCAGTTTGGCTCAATGGATAGAGCAGTGGCCTTCAGACTGAAGGGTCCCAGGTTCAATTCCAGTCAAGGGCATGTACCTTGGTTGTGGGTATATCTCCAATAGGGGGTGTGCAGGAGGCAGCTGATTGATGTTTCTAACTCTCTATCCCTCTCCCTTCCTCTCTGTAAGAAATCAATAAAGTAAAAAATAGAATTAAAAAAGAACTTGTCGGTTGAGGAGAAAATTCAATGAGTGCTTTATTTCCTGGCGGACCCACTGTTCACATCCTCCTTAACAGAATGCCCCCATATTGCTGGTGTCCCTTTATTTGGACTCCTAGTAGTTAAACTTCCTCCAGTCAATAAAGCCTTGGGATCTAAATGTGGTGGAGGTATTTGTAAGGAAAAGAAAAAGTTCTTTCCTTTTCTTTGCTGTGGTCTTTCACAATTAATGAGAAGCGCCTGTTAATTCAGTGGTTCTCAACCTTGGCTGCACATTAGAATCACCTGGGAATCTTTTTCAAATCCTGATTTCTGGGCCTCATCATTAGTAACAAAGAAACAGAATTTCCGGAGGATGAGGCCCAGAAATCAGGATTTTAAAAGAAGATTCCCAGGTGATTCTAATGTGCAGCCAAGGTTGAGAACCACTGTGCTAATTACACCCCAAGTGTTTTGGCTCATCTGATTCAACAACACCCGAGTTCAAACCGCTGAACAAGACTAGTTACTTTCAAGGCTACCTTCTTGCTACCCTTCCTCCCTGGTCACACCTCAGAGATAATTCGCAACAAGGAGTCTCTAGTTAGTAGAAAGTTTCCTTTCCTCCGCCCCTTCAAACAAGCCTCTTTTGAACTCTTCATAACTTTTTCTCTAGTCATATTTTCTAGGCTTGTGAAAAGTATTGATAAGTCACCTCCCTATACATCTGCCAGACTGTCTCCAGGAAAGCAAACAAACTGTAACTTTTTTCCTAAAATATATTTTATTGATTTTTTACAGAGAGGAAGGGAGAGAGATAGAGAGTTAGAAACATCGATGAGAGAGGAACATCGATCAGCTGCCTCCTGCACATCTCCCACTGGGGATGTGCCCACAACCCAGGCACGTGCCCTTAACCGGAATCGAACCCTTCAGTCAGCAGGCCGACGCTCCATCCACTGAGCCAAACCGGTTTCGGCACAAATTGTAACTTTTAAAGGCAGCCCCTCATATCTACTGTACTTCAGTGCATTCCAAGGTCCCTCCATTCCTTATCCCTTAACAACAGGCACAGCTGAAAAGCAGAAGTCACCCTTTATGCCTGCCCTCTACTGACTAGCAATGTTTGGCCCTTTCTTCACTTGGAAAGTGAAATAAACTTCCTCTCTTCATGTCTTCTTCTAAGTCTGAATTCTTTCACAGCCTGCATCACCGGCCAAACCTGAACAATATTTCATTATTCTGAGTTAAGTGGGACAAAATGAGGAAAATGACATTGTAGAGGCAAAATCATATTTCCTTCTCCATTACTAAGTTCTTTGGTTGGCCTAGTAATTAAATTATATAATACAGACTAACAGGGGAAAAACAACCAAAATGTTATTAACATGTATAACTCCATATAAATGGAAACAGCTCAGAAAAAAACGGAGTAACTGGCCAAAATGGCAAACACCATTACACGAAAAACTACCTTTACCTACAGTCAAAAAATGTTGTATGTGGAGAGTGTCAGGGTAGATTGTCAGGTAAAGCACAATAAGGACCTCAGTTGTGGCCCAGTGTGCTGTGCACTGCGGTGAGGGGTTGTACTCAAAAGGACTCTCTTCCAACCCAAAGACGCAGGGTGCAGACACAGGAGACTGGGAAGGAGGATGGGGGTCCAGAACATGATCCTGGCTGGAGGGAAAACATGGTGAGAGCCATTGTCTCATTCAGCCAGTAGGGATATAGAGGACAGAATCACATGGCCAGTAGGTCCTATGCATGGATAAGAGGTGAGCACCTGTCCTATGCAACCAGGATCATGAAGGACTCCAGTGTCACTTGGGAATATTAGGTCCTGGAATTCGTCTTCACTCCTGCAGGGTGAATGTCGGTGCCACATAGGAACATCATTTGAAGGTCAAACTGAGGCAAGAAATTCATCACAGTGGATGGGATCACAGCATGTTACCTAACATGTGGGTGAAGGTGCAGAGACTCAGCCCAAGTTACAGAGGTCTCCTGAGGGTCAAACTCTGTGCTGGGATCAAAGGAGAGGCAGACAAATTGCAGCTCACTCTGAAAGAAGTTCCCCCTGGAGAAACCACTGCAGCTGAGGAATGATGGCGTTCCCCTCACCACGGAGCCAAGGGAAGTGCTCTGAGATGTAAAAGGAATGGGAGGAAACGCGTAACCGCAACCATGGAAACAGGAGCTGCAGCTGAGCCACCCTGGTCCTCAGACTGTACCTGCTCCAGCGAGGGCTGCACATCACAGGTAGAGACTGTGTCTGACGCTGGAGAGAATAATGGTTAAAATCCACCCCCTTGAATCTGACACTTGTCTGTGGTGTAAACTTGAGGAGCTAATTTCATTTCTCAGATACTGAATTTTTTCAGCAATTTGATCGGAGTTTCCACTTACCCAGGTTATTGTGAGAATTAAAAGAGAAAATGCTCAAAAATCTAACCCGGGAATCCTGGCAACAAATCCTCAGCTTGTTACTTTTATTGATCTTGGAAGGCCAAAGCAAGCGCCATCAATCATCTGCATGTCACATTCAGCCACCTGAGACTCAGGGAGCTCTAGGGATTCTGCTGCACATTCTCAGGGGGGCCCACCACAATGAGACCTGAGTGCCCACAGCACCTGCCGCCCTGCAGCAGAGTCAGTGGCTTCTTACACGTTCCATTTCTTAGTAAAATGCACCCAAAGACAAATGTCCTTGTGAGCAACGGGGAGTGAGAAGTGCCTGGCCTGGGAAGGTCTCTGCAGGGAGATGCTGGAGTTCAAAGCAGATAGAGAGAGAGAAAAATCAATGCTGAGAGAGAATCATTGATCAGCTACCTCCTGCATAACCACACTGCGGATCTAGGCGGGACTCAGGTATCCTCCTGTGAATGGAACCGTGATGTTCTGGTTCGTATGTTTCAAACCGAGGCCTGATGAACAAAATTTATACACTCCGGGGGGATCCCTCAGCCTGTCCTGTGACCTCTCGCAGTCTGGGATCCTGCAGGAGATGTCCCCACTGACGAAGGTGAATAACATTTATATCCATAGAAAGAATTATACAAAAATGTTTGTAGCAACTTTATTAAAAATAACCAAATATTTATGAAAATGGACAACATGATGGTGATATATTCAAAGATAAGAATATCTACCAGAGCCCTGGCTAAAGCGTAGGCCTATAGACCAAAGGATCCCAGGTTCGATTTAAGTCAAAGACACATATCTTGGTTGAAGACTCCTTCCAGCCAGCGCACTGGTCAGGGCTGATGCAGGAGAAAATTCAATGATATGTTTCCTTCACATCAATGTTTCTGTCTTTCCCTCTCTCTTCCACTGTCCAAAAGAATCAATGGAAAAATATCCTTGGGTGAGGATTAACAACAACAAAAAGAATATATTTTAAAAAAAGATGAGTTACTAATATATCTTTAATAAATGTCCAAGAATTTATGAAATATAAATTAAAACAGAAAAATACTTAGAAAAAGCAAAGTTCTCTATTAAAATGAAATGTAAAACCATGGTTACCAGGAAAGTTGTGAATAGGGACAGATTAAACGAGGTCATGAAGCAACTATACAGTCACAGATATGGTCAGTATTATGAGTATAATGATGGTTTTAGTTTCATGAACCTGTCAAGATTTATGAAACACTATACTTAATACATGCAATTTACTCATTATAGATTTTCAAAAATGGTTCAAGATAAAACAAATGTTACTTATTTAGGAACTGTTGTTTTTCAACTCTATATTCAATCCACTTTCTTATGCCCTCTGGGTGAGAGTCTGATCTCAGTGACAGAAAATGTAACAAACAATGAAAAACAATGAAGAACTTTCACCCAAACCCACTGGAATACTGACTGTGTCACAAAAGCCACATCTCCTCCCTAAAGACACCCTTCGTTTTCCTCTTAGTTTTGCTGCCAGAGCACCAATGGCTCTGATGGGAACATCTGAGAATCTATTTGAAGCCACAAAACTTCTTGATTATAATCAGTGATAATGACTGTTGCACAGAAGATAAACAAACCCAGATGTTCCTCAGATCTGTGTACACACGGCTCCTATAGTCTTTTCCCAAAAAAATGTCTGGGTGTAAGTTTAGATGAAGACCATTCCATCTAATGGGATGCAGTCTGGTCCAAGAGGAATTAGGTCAATGTTTCTGCAGTTAAAGGGTCCCCTCACTGCCATGGTCCTCCAAACAGTGCCCATCACCCATGGAATTGAAGGCATTAAAGCACATGGCCCTCTGCAGCACCTGGGGAAAAGAATCCCTTCAAATGTCTTACCATTCCTTGAAAATAAGAAAAAAAAAATTCACACTGCTCCCAGACATACTTGAGGTTGTCACAACTATCCCCTCTTTGGAGTGATCTCTGTGTCTTAATGCATCCATTTTCACATGAGGACCAGAGAGTCCACAGTGTTTCCTGGGAAAATATGGACAGCAATGTAAATTTGGCAAAAACTGCTGAGCTAATTTCTGCACCATGGTCTTCCCCCAAGGGCAAAAATGTTTCAGAGCCCATGTAAGTTTTTTACCTCATCATGCTTGAAGAGCCCAGATCTCCATATAAACTAACACACACAGTAAATAGAACACCCAACAGTAAAGAAGTCTTAGGGGAAAAGCCTTCATTATTTTGCAAGGGAAGAGCCGTGAGACTGGCAGTTCCTCTACCTGGCAAGACAGCTCTTTATCTTAAAAAGTCCAACATACATACGTATGGTTCCAACATACAAACAAGCAAACAGAACAGCAAAAACAGTTGCGGGGACGTTACATAATGTAGGTGATTCAATGTATGAGATAAAAATCAGACTAATGAGACTTCACACATTTTCTTATACAATTGTTAAGTCCTAACTAAGAAACTACATTTTCAAAGCATCTGAGAAATTTTTCACATTTGGACTCTTTTGGGCAGAGTGAATTTACAAATTAGGCTGAGAGATATCTCACATTAATTACACTCATAACGACTTTCTCCTGTATGAACTCTCTGATGACTGCGAAGCCTGGTGATCCTGGTGTAAGATTTCCCACAGTCACTGCATTTATAAGGCTTTTCTCCTGTATGAATTTTCTGATGACTGAGAAGGACATTCCTCCAGGGAAAAGATTTCCCACAGTCACTGCATTGAAAAGGCTTTTCTCCAGTGTGAACTCTCTGATGACTACGAAGGTTGGTCTTGGTGGTGAAAGATTTCCCACATTCACTGCATTTATAAGGCTTTTCTCCTGTATGAACTCTCTGATGTTTGCGAAGGACAGTCCTCCAGGTAAAAGATTTCCCACATTCACTGCATTTAAAAGGCTTTTCTCCACTATGAACTCTCTGATGATTTTGGAGAGCTATGTTTTCGGTGAAAGTTTTCCCACAGTCACTGCATTTATAAGGCTTTTGTCCTGTATGAATTCTCTGATGACGGCGAAGGACATCGCTCCAGGTAAAAGACTTCCCACATTCACTGCATTTAAAAGGCTTTTCTCCAGTGTGAACTCTCTGATGTATATGAAGGTTGCCCTTGGTGGTAAAAGATTTCCCACATTCACTGCATTTATAAGGCTTTTCTCCTGTATGAACTCTCTGATGACAACAAAGTTTACTGTTACTGGTAAAAGATTTCCCACATTCACTGCAGTGAAAAGGCCTTTCTCCAGTGTGCACTTTTTGATGACGACAAAGTTTAATGCTACAGGTGTAAGCTTTCCCACATTCACCACATATATAAGGCTTTTCTTCAGTGTGAATGCTCTGATGAGAAAGAAGGTTACCGCTCTGGGCAAAAGATTTCCCACATTCACTGCATTTATAAGGCTTTTCTCCTGTGTGAACCCTCTGATGACTGTGAAGGTGAGACGTAGTGGTAAAAGATTTCCCACATTCACTGCAGTGATAAGGCCTTTCTCCAGAGTGCACTCTGTGATGATATTTGAGACCATTGAAACTTGAGAAAGACTTTCCACATTCACTACATTTATAAGGCTTTTCTCTTGTGTGAATGCTCCGATGACAATGAAGGACACTGCTACTAGTAAAAGATTTCCCACACTCATTGCACTCATAAGGCCTTTCTGCTGTGAGAACACTCTGATCATAATGGAGGGCACTGCAATTGGTAAAAGATTTTCCACATTCACTGCGCTCATAAGGCCTTTCTTCAGTGTGCAAAGCTTCATATTCACCTAGGCTGTTAATACTGCTAAAAGCTTTCTCATGTTCACTACACTCATAAGGCCTTTCTTCAGTGTGACCTTGCTGTAGATAATGAAAGCTAGAAAATTTGGTAAAATATTTTCCACATTCAGAGCACACAAAACATCGACTTCCAACATTGACATCCTTTTCCTGAATAAACGTGTGGGTACAAGTAATGTCTTTCTTACATTCTTTTCTGGTGTAATAATATTTTGTCCTTTGAAATGTCATCCCACGTGTCGAAATAGCATTTGGATGGTCCCTGGTCTGAGTAGCCTTTGGGTGGAGATGTCCTGATTCGGTAAGGACACCCTGCCCAACCTCCTCACATGTGAAAAGATTCTGGGACACAGTGAAATTGCAGCTCTTTGCAAGTGAGATCCTGTCCACCCCTCTAATGAAAGTCTTCTCTCTCACAAGCCATTGGTGAAATTTTACAGTGAAGTAAAACCGTTTTGCACATGCCCCACACCTCAACAGTATCTGTCCGTGTTGTGTTCCCTGCAGCTCCATCACGCGGAAAATGTTTCCCAAGACTAGTCCACAACTCTCACAGGGGTGGCTCTTCTGGGAAGACAAGGCTACCTTGGGATTCCTTGCGTGTGATACTCTCACAGAAACATTCTGTTCAGTTGCTGCCTCCACATTCTCTGCTCCACAGCAGCAACCTAAACAAAAGAAAACACTCATGAGGTACATGTTGACCTCAAGAAAACAGAGTATCTTCACCACAAATGTTTATCTGTCATGACTAGGCCTGATTCCATAGAAAGATTTTAAGTAGCACTCAGGTATACTCTGAGGAAATTGCAGTTATACATATCATCGCCCCAAAAGTCAGTCGATGATGAAAAGCTCACCAAGAGAAGGACAGAAGCACAGGATGGGACACAAAGAAGAGAGGAAGGCTCTACTAAATGTTTCTGCAGAAACGGCTTCCTTTAGGACCTTACATGCTGGCCATGTGAGTCTGTGTAAAATAATTTAAAGCGGCTCAAAGTCATAAAAATTAATTGTATTAGAGCACATGATGTTCAACGTCAATATAATAACGTGTGCACTCCAAGGTACTGCAAGCATGGACCAACGTTGGCTTGCACTAAAGAGAGACCTTTGCAGAGGTGCAAAGTCCAGTGAGGTGAAGGCTATCCGTGGGCTGGGAATCTGAGTAGAAATGAAAACTGAGTACTTGGCAAAGTATCAACAATAAGTACAAACAAGAATAACTGGGTGAGGAATGGGCAACTGTAAGAAAACACTGGGTTTCTAGCTATGAATGTAACAGAGGCCAGCCGAAAATTCCTCCCCAATGATCCTTCTCCAAAGCAAGACCACCCGTGAATCCACTGTATCATTAATAAAGTCCTGTTTCGCCCTAACCGGTTTGGCTCAGTGGATAGAGTGTCGGTCTTCGGACTGAAGGGTCCCAGGTTCAATTCCAGTCAAGGGCATATATCTTAGTTGCGGGCACATCCCCAGCAGGAGGTGTGCAGGAAGCAGTTGATCAATGTTTCTCTCTCATCGATGTTTTAACTCTCTATCCCTGTCCCTTCGTGTTTGTAAAAAAATCAATAAAATACATATAAAAATAAATAAATAAAGTCATGTTTCTTCTGTGATGCACAAATGATTCTTCCCCTTAAATCCCCCTTGAGCCATTCCATGGGATAAATGATGCAAATCTTCAAATAAAAACAAAAGAGTTGGATGATCTACAATGTGGTAGAACAACAAAAGACAAATGAGATCACAGACAAACCACCTATGTGAGCCCTAGCTGGCTTGGCTCAGTGGATGGAGAATTTGCCTGTGGACAGTGGGGTCCTAGGTTCACTTCCGGCCAGGGGCATGTGCCTGTGTTGCGGACTTCATCCCCAGGAGGTGGTGTGCAGGAGGCAGCCGATCAATGATTCTCTCTCATCATTGATGTTTCCATCTCTCCCTTCTTCTCTGAAATCACTAAAAATATGTTAAAAAAGAACAAAACACCTATGTGAGTGACATCCAAAAGAATGCAGAATCAGAGATATGAGCATCTGCCCCGAGCCCAGTGTAAGTAGACAGCTACTCAGAAACAAAAAGCGCATAAAAAATGGGAGTAAGAGTACCATGAAGACAAACAGTATAACAGACACAAATAAAGAAGTGTACAGAAAGAATGACTACAAAAGACTGGGTGAATAAAGATATTTGAAAATATGTACAGTAAAAAACAAGGATCAGAATAACCTCCAGCAGCCCCTGTGCTTCTGCTATCATTGACCAAAGTGGCCTGTTTTTAAAAAAAGCAGTGGAAATTTTTGTGTTTAAAAACCACAGAATGCCTTGGCCAGTATGGCTCAGTTGGTTGGAGCAGCATCCTGTGTACCAAAGGGTCGAGTATTCAATTCCCAGTCAAGGCACATATCAGTATATGGGTTCCATTTCCAGTTACCTTGTGTGCAGAAGTCAGTCGATGGATGTTTCTCCCTCACTCTGATGTTTCTCTGTCTCTCTGTCTCCCCATCTCTCTTCCTCAAATATTTGAACAAGCATCAGTAAAAGGGAGATAAGGCAAAATAAAACAATACAAATATTGGCTACCCTTGAGTTAGACTAAAGCAAAGAACAAAAACCAACAAACAAACAACAACAAGCTTCAGGGAGGTAGGGGAGGCTGGGGAAAGGTCAATTGGGAAAAAAACACAAAAAACAAGCTTCAAGGAAATGAAAGGTAAGACATTATACCTAACACTAGGAACCACAAAGCATCATAAGTTATGTTGAGCCCTAACGGGTTTGGCTCAGTGGATAGACTGTCGGCCTGCGGACTGAAGGGTCCCAGGTTCGATTCTAGTCAAGGGCATATACCTTAGTTGTGGGCACATCCGCAGTAGGAGGTGTGCAGGAGGCCGTTTATCAATGTTTCTCTCTCAGCGATGTTTCTAAACCTCTATCCCTATCCCTTCCTCTCTGTGAAAACTCAATAAAATATATTTTTTTAAAAAAGAGAGATGTTGATGTTAAGAGAAAACTTGACCCTCCACAGAAAATTTGTCAAGATCCCATATGAGCTTCTGAAATTAATAAACATATTCAGAGCCCTGGCCAGGTAGCTCTCTAGTTGCGTGTGTGGTCCTGATGCACCACGGCTGTGGCTTTGTAGGGCACATGTAGGGGACAACCAATAAATGCTTAGATGGGTAGAACAGCAAATCAATGTTTCCCTCTCTTTCTTTGTTTCCCCTCCTGTCTCAAAAATCAATTAAAAAAAAGGCTGCCCAGTATGGCTCAGTGATTGAGCATAAACCCATGACCTAGGACAATGGTTCTCAACCTTCTGGCCCTTCAAATACAGTTACTCATGTTGTGACCCAACCATAAAATTGTTTTCATTGCTACTTCATAACTGTAATGTTGCTACGGTTATGAATCTAAATGTAAATATCTGATATGCAGGATGGTCTTAGGTGACCCCAGTGAAAGGGTCGTTCGACCGCCAAAGGGGTTGCGACCCACAGGTTGAGAACCGCTGACCTAGGAGATCACAATTCCAGTCCTTGTCAGAAGAGACGTGCAGGTTGCTGGCCCTATCTCCATTGGGGCGTGTGCAGAAAGCAGCTAATCAATGACTCTCTCTCATTATTCATGTTTCTAATGCTCTCTCCTTAATTTCCTCTATGAAATCAATAAAATATAGTTTATAGATATAATTAATTTAAGGAATAAATAAATAGCCCTGGCCCGTGTCGCTCAGTGCTGAGAGTGACTTCTTGCACATTGGAAGGTCATGGATGTGATGCTCGGTAAGAGGCAGGTACGTGGGTTTCAGGTTCAATCCCCCTCCTAGTGGGGGCACATGTGTGAGGCGACCAATAGATGTTTCTCTCTCTCTCTCTCTGCCTCTCCCTTTCTCTCTCTCTTAGAAAAAAAATCAATGGAAAAAATATTCTCACTATTCAGGTGAAGATAAAAGAAGAAAGAATTGAATTCAGAAAAGTTACGGGAGAGGAGATCCAAGATGGCGGTGTAGGCAAAGGCCTATACTGGCTTCCTCCCACAACCACATCAAAATTACAACTAAAATACACAACAACCATCAGCCAGAAAGCCTGGAAAGCTGGCTGAATGGAAGTCTTAGGACAGTGGTTCTCAACCTTGGCTGCACATTAGAATCACCTGGGAATCTTTTTAAAATCCTGATTTCTGGGCCTCATCCTCCGGAAATTCTGTTTCCTTGTTACTAATGATGAGGCCCAGAAATCAGGATTTGAGAAAGATTCCCAGGTGATTCTAATGTACAGCCAAAGTTGAGAACCACTGTCTTAGCACTAGAGAGGTAAAGTAGAAAGCACACTGAGACTGGTAGGAGGTACAGAGGCATGGAAGGTGCTGGTGCTATACCCATGTGGGACACATTTTTAATTGGGAGGGAGATCGGCTCTGCAGAGGTCACCTGGAAGAGCAAGGGGTCCCAGTACCACAGCAGACGCCCAGCCCAGGGTCCCAGAGCTGGAGAAAAAGTCCCCACTGGCAGTAAGAACTACGGGCTGTAAAAACCAGTGCGGACTGGGGCTCAGTGACACAGAGGCTGCAGGAGACCCAGCTGCTCCTCTTACAATGCCAGTACCACTAACGGAACTTACAACCTCCTGGTACTTTTGACCTCCAGGGCCTGGAGAGTCTGGGGGTGGACAGGCGGATCAAGACACATATGAGGGGAAACTGGACTAACTGGCATCGGGGCAGGAATTCGAGGGCAGCTTTCTCCAAGACAGAGGTGCTTGCATTGGTCATTATACCTATTCTGGGACATCCCAGGTCATAGGTCTGAGTGACAACCATTTCTGTATGCTCCGACCTGGTGATTCCCTGAGACCTCACCCCATCCAATTTACAACTCCACCCAAGTTGTGTGCAGCAGCATTTGTATATGAATTGCCTGTCCTTGCTCGGGCTAAAACCTGTCAAACCAGTTGCAGTTGGGTCAGGGAACCCCAAAGTTATCAATAAAAGGCCTATACCTGGCACAAGCACTAGCCTTCCTTGCTTCATAGCTAGGCCTCATTAGGGCACTTCCAAACTCAATACAAAGAGGAGAATCTGCAGATCTCTCTGTAGATGCTGCTGGGTGGCCCCAGGAAGAGGCTGATTTTACACCTCCCAGGAGACCCAAGAGCCAGTGTACCCAGTGATCAGTGTCATACCATATCACCTTACAACTCTTCACATCCATAAGCGACACATTCAAGGGGCAGACTCACTGACCACCAGAGCCCCACTGATACAGGTCATGCTCCATAGGGGTGTCTCCTGCACAGCAGCTCTCCCACTGTAGTCATAGTGACACCCATCAATCCTTAAATCCTCAAGAAAATTCTGGAAAATCAGATCCAGCAATACATTAGAAAGATCATACACCATGACCAAGTGGGATTTATTCTTGGGATGAAAGATTGGTACAATATCTGCAAATCAATAAATATGATACAACATATAAACAAACTGAAAGACAAATATCATATAATCATACCAATTGATGCAGAAAAAGCATTTGACATAATCTGACACACTTTCTTGTTAAAAACTCTCAGCAAAGTGGGAGCCCAAGGATCATACCTCAACATAATAAAAGACTTATATGACAAACCTACAGCCAATATCAGACTCAATGAGCAAAAACTACAACCATATTCTATAAGAACAGGACCAAGACAGGGATGTCCATTTTCACCGCTCCTGTTTGATATAAAATTGGAAGTGCTAGCCACAGCTATCAGAAGGGAAGAAAAAATTAAAGACATCATAATTGGAAAACAAGAAGTAAAATGGTCATTATTCAATCAAAAAACTACTAATTTAATAAATGCCTTCAGAAATGTAGCAGGATACAAAATTAACACTGAGATATCTATGACTTCTTTATACCCAAATAATGAAACAAACAGAAAGAGAAACAAACAAATAAACAAAAAATCTTATCTACCATTGCAACAAAAAAATTAGGATACCTAGGAATAAACTTAACTAACGCAGTAAAAGACATGAAACCCGAAAACTACAGGAAGTTGAAAAAAAGAGACAGAAGAAGATATAAACAAATGGAAACATATACCGTGTTCATGGATTGGTAGAATCAGCATCATTAAAATGTCCATGCTACCCAAAGCAATCTGCAGATTCAATGCAATCCCCATTAAGATACCAACTGCATATTTCATAGACCTATAATAAGCTCTCCAAAAATAAATATGGAATAATAATGAAAAATAGCCACAGCAATCCTCAGAAAGAACAAAGTTGAAGGGATGACAATACCAGGTACCAAGGTATATTGCAAATATGCCTGGTACTTGCACCACAACAGACATATAGAACACTGCAACAGAACAGAGAATCCAGAAATTGACCCACGCCTTTATGCTCAATATTTGTCAAAGGAGGCAACAACATACAATGAAATCAAGACAGTCTCTTCAATAAATAGTGTTTGGAAAACTGAACAGATACATGCAAAAAAATGAAACTAGACCACTAACTTATATCATACACAAAATAAATTAAATATAGATAAAGTCTGTAAACACAAGATGGGAAACTTTAAAAATCTTAGAAGAATCCACAGGCAGCAAAATATCAGACATATATCCTAGCAATGTCTTTACGGATACAGTTCCTAGGGTAATGGAAACTAAGGAAAAAATGAACAAATAGAACTACGTCAAGATAAAAAGCTTCTGCACAGCCAAAGAAACCATCAACAAAATAACCAGAAAGCCCAAGGCATGGGAGAACATATTTGCCAATGTTGTATCTGATAAGAGTTTACTCTCCAAAATTTACAGGAAATCATACATCATAAGAAAAAGAAGGTACACGATCCAATCAAAAAATGGGAAAAGGACCGAAATACACACTTTTCGAGAGTGGATATACGGAAAGCCGAGACATATAAAAACACGCTCAAAGCCACTTATCCAAGAGACGCAAATCAAAATGACAATGAGATATCATCTCACACCTGTCAGGATGGCTATCATCAACTAATGGACAAACGACAAGTGCTGACAAGGATGTGGAGAAAAAGGAACCCTTGTGCATCGCTGGTGGGAATGCATATTGGTACAGACACTGTGGAATATAGTGTAGAGTTTTCCAAAAAATTAAAAATGGAACTCCCAATTGACCCATCTAGGAAAATATCCCAAGAAATCAGAAACAGCCCTTGCCGGTTTGGCTCACTGGATAGAGCATCAGCCTGCAGGTTGAAGGGTCCCAGGTTTGATGCCGCCCAAGGCAACATGACGGACTGTGGGCTCAATTACCAGTAGGGTGCATGCAGAACGCAGAGATCAATGATTCTCTCTTATCATTAATGTTACTATCTCTCTCTCCTTCTCCTTTCCTCTCTCCGAAATCAATAACGAAATTAAAATTAAAAAAAGAAATCAGAAACACCAATCAGGAAGGACATATGCACCCCTGTATTCATAGCAACACAATTTACAATAGCTAAGATTTGGAAATAGCCTAAGTGCCCATCAGTAAATGAGTGGATTAAAAACTGTGCTACATAAGTTTGCTATTAAAATACATTAAACTATAAAAAAATAAAAATAAAAATAAAAACTGTGCTACATCTACACAATGGAGTAGTATGCTGCTGTTACAAAGGAGGAACTCTTACTATTTGCAACAGCATGGATGGAACTGGAGAGCATTATGCTAAGCAAAATAAGCCAGGTGGAGAAAGATAGTTATCACATGATCTCACTCATTTGTGGTCAATGAGGGAAAATTGCGACATATGTAATACAATATATATTTCTTTAAACAATAAAGAATTTTTAAAAAAGAAATATTGTGAAAATATCCATAGTACACAATGCATTCAACAGATTAAATGGAACCCTGAGGTTACTTCTTATGGTACTTTACAAAGATATGAAAAGAGAACCTTGAAATGTATAGAACTAAAAAATGTGAGTAGCAAAAACAATCCTGAGTGAGAAGCAAGCTGGTGGCATCACTTCCTGACATCAATTTCTTACAAAGACAAAGCAAGCAAACTGTGTTGCTGAAGAAACACAGACACATACATCAATAGAAGAGAACAGAAAACACAGAAATAAACCCAGGCACATACTTTCAAGTAATTATTGTCAAAACTGCAAGACAGAGAAGAAAGGAAAGACAGTTTCTTCAATGAATGGTGCTGCTGAAAATCAATACTCACATGGAAACACAACAATACTGCACACCCCTGAAAGAATTTAACGCAACCTGCATACCGGAATTGAATGTCAGCGCTAAAACTTAAAACGCCTCAGAACAACCTAGAGAAAAAGTTTTGGAGATTTGTTTTGACATGATTTTCTGAATGTGACACCAACCACCACAAAAAAAAAACAAAAACAAACAGTCCAGATGGCAACAAATAAAGAAAAAGCTTCTTCACAGCCCAACAGCAATAAAAAAATGAAATGAAAGGAAATCTAGAGAACAGAAAAAAATACTTGCAAATCCTATGAAGGAATTGCTTGGAGAGATTGGGGATTCAGTTCTGATCAGCACAATAAAGCAAATATTGAGATATAGACAGAAATTCACACAAATAGTTGGAGTTCCCAGGGAATAATAAAGTTATGTTAATAGTATACTGGAGGCTAATAACAATGCAATGACTTGTCTGAAAACCAAACTCAATATAACTTCATTAAAAATACTTTATTACTAAGCACTAGTAACAAGCATCTGAGCTTGCTAGAAACATGGTGGCACTAGACCTGCTAAATGCAGGGTTGTCAAACACATACAATTTGTAGAAAAGTGGGTGTGGGGGAGCAATATATGCATCTGAAAAGCACAATTAAGCACATACAAAAATATATGTTCCTGGATGTGATAAGCAATTAATATATAAAATATACAAGATAGTCAAGAGAATGTTTAACCAAAAAATAGAGTTATTAAGCAAGAAGAGGACATGGAAACAATTCCTCTAAAAGTATGTACAAATGACCAACAAGAATATAGAAAATGCTCTCCTCACTGATCAAAGTGGGATCCCTCAATCTTCAAAAAATACACTAGGAAGCACAAATCCTTCCCTGTGAATTTAGTGGAGCTGGGGGTATTGGGACTTCAGGAATAGAAGGGAGCAGCAGAAACAGACCAACCCTCCCAAGGACAGCAACTACCCAGGAAACTGGAAAATGAAGCAGTACCACAGTCTACATGGGAGGACAGAGCACACCCTGGGGGATGGAGTCTGGAAAATAGAAAAGCCAAGTCCAGGTCACTGGTGAGAGTGAGGGTCTTACCCAGCGAGGATATAAGTTCAAAGTTCTCCAGCATCACATTCAGGTACAGCTGTCTCTGACCCTCATCAAGGAGGCTCCATTCCTCCCTGGAGAAGTACAGGGCAATGTCCTCAAAGGTCACGCCAACCTGTCAGTATGGAGACAATTGAAACCAGAGCTGCCTTTCTGAGAACCAGTAATCCTACTGCTTACACACCTTCCCCCCTCAACCTCCTCCAGGGCACCCGGTTAATGTGGACACCAGGCCCTAATGCCAGTGCAGGCTTCTCTCTCATCACAGTCCCATTACTCACTGTGATTGCCCTCAGCAGAGCAGCTGGGTTGGTGGGAAGGAATGGGGGAGGGGAGGGTAGAGAGCAATGCCATTTAAGGTCTGGGCGATGCCTGCAGGGCCCCAACCTTCCTGCCAGCAACACCACTGCAGTCTCCTAGATCCTGCCGCCAAGACAAAGCCAAGCGTCGGTTTATGCTTCACCTTTAGGTCCCCACACCAGATCCCGGGACCATCAGCTCACACTTCCTCCAGATGTGCACACCACTGGGTAACGTTTATCCCCTTCCCATGTTCAGACCCCAGGTTCACTCCCTCAGCTCTGTCCCCTTCCTGCTCCAATGCCACTGGGTCTCGCTGGACTCACCCATGAACTTGGCATATGGCGTGTAGAGAGCTTGTAGTCCAGCCGGATCCAGGGCCACCCCAGGCCCCTAATGGACCCACAGCCGGGAAAGCCCCGAATGAGTCTGTGCCGTCCTCCCTGCAGCCTCTGATCTTTCCGTCAATATTCACAGCCACATCCTCAGGGACCTTCAGATGCAAGTCACCCCCGTCCGCTCTGCCCTGCACTTGCTGTGTCCTCAGAAGCCACAACACTCCTCTCTCCCCTCCACCTTCCTCACGGCCCTCCACGCGGGACTGAGCTGCAGGACGGGACAGCGCCCTCCCCAGGCTGTGGTGTCTGTGTGAGGAGGCGGTGAGGGCCGGGGGGACTGAACTCACCTCAGCCCGTCTCCTCAGCGGGGGCGCCGCCATTGCCCTCTGTAGGCTGAGCGGGGCAGGAGCAGAAGCCGCTGCAGGAATGGCGGTCCCTGTCCCGGCCCTGGCGTGGGTCCGGGTGGCGACTCCGAGCTTCAATCCCACGTGGGAGCTGTGAGCACCACTGGAGGCCCCGACCATTGGCTGTGAGGCGGGGAGCACCGCTCTCCGGCCTTCTCCACGGGACCGCGAACACGGAACAAAAATCTGAGAAAACGAAATCCTGACAAGGATTACCGGTCCCGCCCTACAGAAGCGGCCAAACGGACCCTCCATTGGCTCCGCGTGATGCCATTCCACGCGTGGCCTTCTGGGTAATGTAGTTTCTCCGCTCCAAAGCCGGGATCCAGTATTTCTCAGTTGACTCCAGGACTTGATTTAGGCGCAAATAGCCCAAGAACACAACAAGTACACTAAGGGCCCTCTAGCGCCTTCAGGGGAGGTGATGTCCGGGGCAAGTTTGTTTCTCCAGCACCTGCGGGGCTGGTTTTGAATATCTTTCTTCAGGACCTGCTCTTTCTGACTGGCAGGCATTGTTTCTTCATTCAGGATTTTTGGCATGTGCCTCCTAAAGGCCAAATGTAGCTGGGGGAGGTTGCTCAAGTCTCTGACTAGATCTAACCTGCCTCCATTGAATTCATTATACAAAGTTTATGTCACAAAACAGACACTCATACTTAAGAGCATCTGCTTCTGATGCCATCCAAAGTGTCAGCTCTGCCTGGGCTGCAGTGTGGATAAGATGGCCAAGAGACATGTGAAAAATGCTCCAAGTGACTGATCATCAGAGAGATGCAAATTAAAGCAACAATTAAAGATGACCTCACAACTGTCAGCATGGCTGTCATCAACAAATCAACCAAGGAAAAGTGCTGGGGAGGATTGAAAAAAAGGGAACCCTAGTACACCCCTGGTGGGAATGCAAACCTGTACAGCCATTATGGAAATCAGTTTGGAGTTTTTGCAAAAATTTTAATATGGAACTGCCATTTAATTCAGTGATTCTATTCCTAGGAATATATCCTAAGAAACTTAAAACAATCAGATAGAATGTATGCACCCCTATGTTCATAGCAGCACAATTTACAATAGCAAAGACCTGGAAACTGCCCAAGTATCCATCAAAATAGTGGATAAAAAACTGTGGTACATTTATACCATGGAATACCATGCAGAAGTAAAAATGAAGAATCTCTTACCCTTTCACACAGCATGGAGGGACCTTGAAAGCATCACGCTAAGTGAAATAAGTCAGTCAGAGAGGACAGTATCACTTGATCTCACTCATATTTGGAATCTAATTAACAAAAAACTGATGGAGTGGATTCAGAGATATGGAAGCATGGAATTACAGTAGAATCTTAGAGGGAAAGTGGAGAAGGGTAAAAAGAAATATGCTCAGGTAAGGATTAAAACACACACACACACACACACACACACACACACTAAAAACAAAGTCACCTGAGCCTTGAGCATTTTCTTCTGTTCTCTGAAAGCAAGAGGAAAGCTCTAGCTTGCTGGGTTCTGGGTTTGCTCTACATTTGTGTTTATAAATTTGTCTTCCATCAGTTGAGTGCCTGGAAATGCTGATACCCCTCCATGTAACATTCTCCTGCTTCACATGAGTCAATTGCTTTTGCTGTTGTTGTAAGAAATGTCCAAACTTGTGGAGACTTTTTCTAAGTTTATTTGACCCAAGTTGGCGACATTTGCCAGGACGAAAAATAACAACAGGTTGAGTAATGCTCAGGAGAATGACAGTTTTGCACCTTTTTTTATACATTTTTAAAAATATATATTTTATTGATTTTTTACAACGAGGAAGGGAGAGGGATAGAGAGTCAGAAACATGGATGAGAAAGAAACATCCATAAGCTGCCTCCTACACACCTCCCACTGAGGATGCGCCCGCAACCAACGTACATGCCCTTGACCAGAATCGAACCTGGGGCCCTTGGGTCCACAGGCCGACGCTCTATCCACTGAACCAAACAGGTTAGGGTTATACATAATACTCAAAAGAGAAGACATATGGGGGTTAATTGAGATTTACTGGTGATAAATTAGAATGGGGGAATGAAGAGGGAAATCCCTGGGATTAAACAAAAAGTAAAAAAAGTAGACAAAAACTTCTTTTTAAAATGTTCTCCAACAGTTAACACTTAATATTTGACACAACAATAATAATAATTGTGGACCTGAGTTCTTCTGTGTTTGGAGATTGTGCCCTTAGGAGTCTGTAAAAAAGGAAATTTCCCAGAAAATCCAATGATATGTATTCTAGATGCAAAAAGACAATAGACATGCTCAATAAGGTAAAGATTGAACTTTGCAAAGAAACAGAACGAAACCAAAAAAAGGAGGCCAGGGCATAACTAGCCCTGTGACTTGCTTTTCTTTAAAAAGTTTTAACTTCAAACGATCCTGGGTGGTTACTTTTGGCCTGAGTTTGTATGATTCACTATGTGATGCCAGGCTACCTGAGCTTCCTATATTTACTATTTACCATCATTTTTGTCCATACTGTGGTGTTAAAACCTATGAGGTCAGGAGAAAAATCACTGAGTGCTGTATTTCCTTTGGGACCCATTGCTGACATCCTCCTGAACATAATGCCCCCAGTACTGCTCCTGTCCCTTTATTTGGTCTCCTAGAAGTATTCACTCTTCAGGTCAATAAAGCCTTAGGTTCTAAAAGTCCTCGAGGTATTTGTAAGGATAAGAAGGTCTTTCTGTTTCTTTTCTGTGACCTTCCACAATTTATGAGAAGCACTTGCTAATTAATATATTTTATTAATTTTTTACAGAGAGGAAGGGAGAGAGATAGAGAGCTAGAATCATCGATGAGAGAGAAACATCGATCAGCTGCCTCCTGCACACCTCCTACTGGGGATGTGCCTGCAACCAAGGTACATGCCCTTGACCGGAATCGAACCTGGGACCTTTCAGTCCGCAGGCCGACGCTCTATCCACTGAGCCAAACCGGTTATGGCAGCACTTGCTAATTAAACCCCAAATTAATGGCTCCTCTAATTCAAAGAGCTCCTCTGTTCGAACTGCAGAACAAGATAAGCTACTTTTAAGGCTAAATTCTTACCTGCTGTTGTTACACCTCAGGGGTAACTCACACCAAGGAGTCTCTAGTTTGTAGAAAGTTTCCTCTCCTCCACACCTTCAAACATGCCTCTTCATAACTTTTTCTCCGGTCATTTTTTTTTTTTTTTACAGAGAAGAAGGAGAGGGATAGAGAGTTAGAAACATCGATGAGAGAGAAACATCTATCAGCTTCCTCCTGCACACCCCCTACTGGGGATATGCATGCAACTAAGGTGTAAGCCGTTGACCGGAATCGAACCTAGGACCCTTCAGTCCACAGGCGGAGGCTCTATGCACTGAGCAAAACCAGTTAGGGCATCCGGTCATATTTTATAAGACTGGGAAAGAAACTGATAAGCACCTCCGAAGAACATCTGCCAGACTGTCTCCTGGAAACCAAACTGTAACTTTAAAGGACAGCCCCTCTTATCTACACAACTTCAGCTCAGCCCAAGGCCCCTCCATCCTTTGTCCCTTAGTGACAGGCACTGCTGAAAAGCAGAAGCCACCATTTCTTCCCTGCCCTGAATTGACCAGCAATACTTGGCCTTTTCCACTCTTGGAAAGTAAAATAAACGTCCTCTCTGCATTCCGTTTAGTTGTGAATTCTTTTTTTTTAATTGCCTAAAGTATTACAAAGGATATTACATATGTGTCCTTTTTTTTTTTACCCCGCCCTTGATAATCCCCTGGCCTCCCCTACCCCCCAGTTGTGAATTCTTTCACAGGCTGTATCACCGCCCAAAACTTAACACTATTCCTTAATTTTGTGGAGTTAAGGGAGTGATTGTGAAAGAAGATGAGGGAAATGATATTGCAGAGGCAAAATAATTTTCCCTTCTTTTCTAGGTTCTTAGGATAGTCTAAAAATTAAATGGATACCTTTGCTGATTTGGCTTAGTGGATAGAGTGTCGGCCTGTAGACTGAAGGATTCCTGGTTCAATTCTGGTCAGAGGCACATGCCCTGGTTGCAGGCTTGATCCCCAGTGTGGGGCACACAGGAGGCAGCCCAGCAATGATTCTCTCTCATCATTGATGTTTCCGGCTCTCTCTCCCTCTCTGGGATCAATGGAAATATATTTTTTAAAAAAATTAATTAAATTAAATGGATATAACACAGATTAACAGGGGAAAACTATCATAAAGTTATGAACATGTACACCTACTGTATACATCAAGCATGTCAAAGGTGGGGCCCCCAGGCTGCAGGGGGCGCACAACGAATATTCATTAACAATCACTCATTTATAGCAGCCCTTTGTATTCAACCTATCGAGATAAACCTACATTTCTATGAAAATTTAAGGTTGTTTTTTTTTTTTGTGGCCCACAGAAACTTAAACCTTGTTTATATGGCTCCTGGTTAGCCTTTGAGCTTGACTGCTTAGTATATGGAGACGACTCAAAGAGTAACACGCCAAAACGGCAAACACCATCATCTGAAAAGCCAACTTAACCTACAATCAAAAAATGTTATGTGTAAAGAGTCAGTTAGGGTAGATTGTCAGGAAAAGCACAGTAAGGACCTCAGTGGTGGCCCAGTGTGCTGTGCACTGCGGTGAGGGCTTGTCCTCAAAAGGACTCTGTTCCAAACCAAAGACCCAGGGTGCAGGCACAGGAGCCTGGGAAGGAGAACAAGGCTCCAGAATATGATCCGGGCTGCAGGGAAAACATGGTGAGAGCCATTGTCTCATTCAGCCCGTAGGGATATAGAGGATGGAATCACATGGGCAGTGGGTCCTAGGCATGAGTAAGAGGTGAGCACCTGTCCAATGAGACCAGGATCATGTAGGACTCCAGCATCACTTCCGAATATTAGGTTGCAGAATTCATATCAAAGTGTATCCTCCCCTGAAGGGTGAGTGTCAAACTGAAGGGTCAAACAGAAGCATGAAATTCACCCCAGTAAACAGAATGGCAGCATGACACCCATCATGTGGGCACAAGTGCAGAGACCAGCCCTAATGACCAAGGTCTCCTGTGGGTCATAGTCTGTGCTGGGGTCAGAGGGAAGGTAGACAAACAGCAGCTCACTCTGAAAGAAGTTTCCCTGGAGAAACCACTGCAGCTGAGAAATGATG